TCTGAAATATTTTTGGCGTACGCCATTTCTGCCTTTTGGCCGTACATTTACTTTTATTATGGTTTCCACGCAATCCTTTATAAATGAGACCCCAGTTCTTCTGTGTTTGTCTCTTTCCTGTCCTCCAACCAGCCGGTGGAGGCAGATGGCCGCCTGTCCTGAGCCTGGTTCTGCTGGAGGTTTCTTCCTGATTAGCAGGGAGTTTTTCCTCTCCACTGTTTGCTCAGGATGGGAGACTGTGATGAAGTGATTCAACGCAGCCTGCTGGTTTCTTTAGATTGTTTTTTTTTCTTGTACCCTGAGATGTTTGTTATGACTTGGTGCTGTATAAATAAACTGAATTGAATTGAATTGAATTTAAATCAAAAATTTCTAAAACTTTTGTCTTCAGAAATAATCCGTTCATGCTTTAAATTTCCTTAGAAATTAAACCCTTTTTCACTCTCGAGACGTCCCTTCGTATAACCTTTGGCATTCTTGTACAACTTGAAAAATCCTTTTTTTAAATGTAGGGCTGGAGTGACCAATAAAAATTAAGTTTTCAAACCTCTTGTAAACAAAACTGAGTTGCTGTCCAACAAACTATGTACAATTTTGAAGATTTGATGAAGATTTGAAAATAACAATAAATCACTATTGAACAWTTTCTTCATTGTGACTCATTTTACCAGCACAGATGACATAAAGATATTAAATAGTTACGATACTCACCATCAGCTGTCCCATGAACCAGAAGATAATCCACTGAGTGGAATTTCTCAGCTCTGGCAGTTACTGTTGAGGTCTGCACAATCAGCTTTGTGTTTAGGCAAAAATAACTCATTTAAACTGACACAATATTGGAAAAAAAATCCCCATAAAACTTACAGCATAGCCCACAACGTTTTCTGACGGCTGCAACATATAGCGCTCTGTGTAGATGGAGTCTGTGAAAAACAGATAAATATATTTTGTCTGGCTGTTAAAGTGGATGGGACCAGTTCCAGTGGTGGGCACACTTCTGCTAACAGCTAATAGTGAAACAAACTTTTAATTTAGCAGATTAGCTTCTTCACTAACTTTGAAAACTATTAACATAATTAGCTTCTTTAAGTCAGCTAACTAACAAGCTAATATCAACAGGTTTGTGTCAGTCCACCAGTCTTCAGTTGGAAGGAGACAGCTGTCTTAGTGGTTAGCTGTTAGCTTTAGCTTCTGCTATTTTCTTTCCATCTTTAGCATTAGTAAAGCCAATGCTTGGGTTAGTTGTGCCCACCACTAATAAAATATCACAATTTATTCATATTTGCATACCCATGTAAAGTACGTAACAATTTAAAGTGATTCAAAGTAAAAACTTTGCTTGTTTTGTTTTATTGTGCCTTCAATGAGCCATGCTTGCGTCAGGGGGCAGCCCAATGAGGTGCACCTATTAAAAAACAGCAAATACCATAATAATCCCATTTGGAAACAGGAGCCACAGCCATTCCACATTTGAAGACCCCACTGCCAGAACCCAGGACCATGGAAGTCACGTATCCACCGTAGGACTGTGAAGACAAAACCACTTATTTACAGCAGCTCATCTCTTCCCCAATGACCAGATGTACTGACATCAGGGTGAATCATTAACTTCCTGTTAGAGTCTTTTCTCGCCCTTTGAACTATGACTTAACCTCATTGTGTTAGACAAACCAAGCAATTACTGTAGTAAATGATACCAGCACAAGTGCTCTTACCAAATCTGGAGTACTTACCCATCCCCAAATAGCAACCCTGTTTTTATCAATGAAGCCCATTTTGATGAATTCCCTTAACAAAAAAATGACAAAACAAATAATTATTATTATTTCCATCGCACCACATTAAACTGTAGACTGGAACATTTAACCAGAGAAACACTTCAAATCAGGTTTCATCAAGCTTTGCAGCCTGTGGGGGGATGMTTGTTACACATTCACTGACTTGTCTCAACCGGTCTCTGCTCATCTTACCTTGTTGCCTTTATCTGATCTTCCACCTCGTCGGTCCCCAGACGTCTGTAGATTTTGTGCATTAACACATCGCCTTGGTAACCACTTCCACTTCCGTCGAAGCTCGCCACGATGACTTTCTCAGTGCTTGCCAGGTAGGTGGACCAGTTCACCCTGTACCTGAGGTCCACTTTCTGACTGCAGGGACCGGCGTACCTGAAGGTGGCAGAATCCCTCTCAATATACAAGCAATTCTTTTCATTTTTTAAATCTATCTATCTATCTATCTATCTATCTATCTATCTATCTATCTATCTATCTATCTATCTATCTATCTATCTATCTATCTATCTATCTA